TAATAAAGAATTTTCTATCTTCACGTCTGCATATGTTGCAAAAGATGCCATCGCAGAGCAGACTAAATGGCTCTACCTTTGTGAATTCCCTGGTTTATATCAATTTTATTTATTTATATTGATTGCCCTATGAGTCTGTTTTCTCTTTCTATTTGAGATTCATATTGAAGCATTGACACAAGCAAAAGGGGTTACTCCTAAGTGAGTTTAAAAAAAAAAAAAGTTTATTTTTTTCTTAATATTTGCACATTACAAGTTTTTATTTTTTTTTTATTTTTTTTTTTTCACAAGTGCACTTTGTCACTTTGGTCATAAATCATTGCACTAATATTTCTTAATTATTTTACATGTTTATATGGTATTAATGTAAAAATTATTAATTGATTGTCTTCTTTGGGACCTGATGGAATACACCCAAAGCTATTAAAAGAGCTTAGTGGTGTACTATCAAAACCATTAAAGGACCACTATAGTGCCCTGAGGGTGCCCCCACCCTCAGGGTCCCCCTCCCGCCCGGCTCTGGAAGGGGGAAAGGGGTAAAAACGTACCTTTTTCCAGCGCTGGGCGGGGAACTCTCTGGTCCTCTCCTCCTCCGATCCGCCCCGTCGACTGAATGCGCACGCTCGGCAAGAGCTGCGCGCACATTGAGCCGGTCGCATAGTAAAGCATTCATAATGCTTTCCTATGGACGCTTGGGTGCTCTCACTGTGATTTTCACAGTGAGAATCACGCAAGTGCCTCTAGCGGCTGTCAATGAGACAGCTGCTAGAGGCTTTGGGGGAAGGCTTAACCCATTGATAAACATAGCAGTTTCTCTGAAACTGCTATGTTTATAAAACAATAGGTTAACCCTAGAAGGACCTGGCACCCAGACCACTTCACTTCATTAAGCTGAAGTGGTCTGGGTGCCTAGAGTGGTCCTTTTAACAGATTTATTTAACCAATCGTTGTTAAGAGGAGTAGTCCTAGAAGATTGGAAGTTAGTGAATGTTGTGCCCATTTACAAGAAAGGTAGTAGGGAGGAGTCAGGCAACTATAGGCCAGTAAGCCTTACTTCAGTAGTGGGGAAAGTGATGGAAACCATGTTAAAGGATAGGATTGTTGAACATCTTAAAACACATGGATTTCAAGATCAGAGACAACATGGGTTTACTTCAGGGAGATCATGCCAAACTAATCTTATTGATTTTTTTGATTGGGTAACTAAAATAATAGATCAGGGTGGTGCAGTAGACATTGCTTACCTAGATTTCAGTAAGGCTTTTGCACATAGAAGGCTTATCAATAAATTGCAATCTTTAAGTTTGAATTCCAATATTGTTGAATGGGTAAGGCAGTGGCTGAGTGACAGGCAACAGAGGGTTGTAGTCAATGGAATATATTCGAAGCTTGGACTTGTCACCAGTGGGATACCTCAGGGATCTGTACTTGGACCCATTCTCTTTAATATTTTTATTAGTGATATTGCAGAAGGTCTTGATGGTAAGGTATGTCTTTTTGCTGATGATACTAAGATTTGTAACAGGGTTGATGTTCCAGGAGGGATAAGTCAAATGACAAATGATTTAGGTAAACAATTGTGGCAACTGACATTTAATGTGGATAAGTGCAAGATAATGCATCTTGGATGTAAAAACCCAAGGGCAGAGTACCGAATATTTGATAGAGTCCTAACCTCAACATCTGAGGAAAGGGATTTAGGGGTGATTATTTCTGATGACTTAAAGGTAGGTAGACAATGTAATAGAGCAGTAGGAAATGCTAACAGAATGCTTGGTTGTATAGGGAGAGGTATTAGCAGTAGAAAGAGGGAAGTGCTCATGCCATTGTACAGAACACAGGTGAGACCTCACTTGGAGTATTGTACACAGTACTGGAGACCATATCTTCAGAAGGATATTGATACCTTAGAGAGGGTTCAGAGAAGGGCTACTAAACTGGTTCATGGATTGCAGGATAAAACTTACCAGGAAAGGTTAAAGGATCTTAACGTATAGCTTGGAGGAAAGACGAGACAGGGGGGATATGATAGAAACATTTAAATATATAAAGGGAATCAACACAGTAAAGGAGGAGACTATATTTAAAAGAAGAAAAACTACCACAACAAGGACATAGTCTTAAATTAGAGGGACAAAGGTTTAAAAATAATATCAGGAAGTATTACTTTACTGAGAGGGTAGTGGATGCATGGAATAGCCTTCCAGCTGAAGTGGTAGAGGCTAACACAGTAAAGGAGTTTAAGCATGCGTGGGATAGGCATAAGGCTATCCTAACTATAAGATAAGGCTAGGGACCAATGAAAGTATTTAGAAAATTGGGCAGACTAGATGGGCCGAATGGTTCTTATCTGCCGTCACATTCTATGTTTCTCCAGAAGGGTATCACTCCAGGTACCCAGACCACTTCTGCCCATTGAAGTGGTCTGGGTGCCAACTCCCACTACCCTTAACGCTGCAACTGTAAATATTGCAGTTTTCATAAACTGCAATAATTACCTTGCAGGATTAACTCCTCCTCTAGTGGCTGTCTACTAGACAGCCACTAGAGGGCACTTCCTGGTCTATAGCACAGGTTTTCTGTGCTATAGCGGCGCTGGACATCCTCACGCTACGTGAGGACCTCCAGCGTCGCTAAAATTCCCATAGGAAAGCATGAGGAGGTCTAATGGTCTCATCCCGCCGGTGGCCACGCATGTGCAATAGGTCTCCCAATGCCGGCTGACGGCGGGGGAGGAGCGTGGGCGGACCCTAAAACATCGGCGGTGGTCTTAGGAAAGTCACTGAAGGGGTTTTCACCCCTTCAGCAACGTGGGAGGGAGAGGGGACCTGCAGTGCCAGGAAAACGATTTGTTTTAACCCCTTAAGGACACATGACATGTGTGGCCTGTCATGATTCCCTTTTATTCCAGAAGTTTGGTCCTTAAGGGGTTAAAGGCACAGCGCACTTTATTTTTGGTATTAAGTGATGTAATAAAGCCTTATTGAGGTTTCCCGCTGGCTGGTTGCTACGTTTAACTGGTGGTTAGCTTTTGAAATGGGATACAAAGTTTCTTTTCACTTGGGTGCAGGTGGTTACATTGTAAATA